TACAATTATATATAAATAGCTAGACCCACAGTACTTAACATTCCCCCTCAAGCCGAGGGATGAAATACATCTTTCATGCCCAGCTTGTGTAACGACCCAACCGGTCGTTTCGACTTTTAGAATCCCGTTTCCTTAAATAAAACTCTCCGAATGTGTTTTTAATGATTTATGATTTGCGGGGATGGTTGGTTCGGGATTTGGATGTGTTTGGGTTGAAATCGGAACACTTGGTTCCTTAAGTTAACCTTAAAAGGTCAAGTTTGACTTCGGTCAATATTTTGAGAAAATAAACTCGGAATCGGGATTTGACGGTTCCAATAGGTTCATATGATGATTTCGGACTTGGGCGTATGTTCGAATCGGGTTTTGGATAACCCGGGAGCATTTTGGCGCTTAATAATGAAAATCAACTATTTGAAGGTTTAAAGTTCTTTAAAATTGGTTTGGAGTAGGTTTTTGAGTAATTGAAGTCCATTTGGAATTCCAAGTTTGGGAATAGTTCCGTATAGTGATTTAAGACTTGCACGCAAATTTTCGTGTCATTCCGAGTAATTTAAGTATATTTCGGCGCATTGGAAGTAAATTGAAGAACTTGAAATTCCTAAGTTTGAATCAATTTATTTTAGGGTATGATTCTTAGATTTGATGTTTATTTATGCGTTCCGAGAGTTCGAACGAGTCCATTTTATGATTTCAAACTTTTTAGTATGTTCGGGCGGGGCCTCGGGGGTCCCGAGTGTTAACCGGACGAGACTCGGACCAATTTTGGAAAATTGAGCAAGGACTTAAGCTCCCAGCTATTGTCATAATCGCACCAGCGCTTGGACAGCCGCAGGTGCGAACGAGAAGCCTGCCCAGCCATCGCAGATGCGAATCATTTGGCGCAGCTGCGAATGTGCATGTGAGATGGCCTTGTGCACAAATGCGGAAAAATGCGCAGGTGCGAAGGGATGGGCGCACCTGTGCTTGCGCAGAAGCGAACATTTCTTCCGCAGGTGCGGAACCAGGAAAAGAAGGAAAATGCGCACCTGCGAGGAATTTCCGCAGGTATGAAAGCCGCATGTGCGGTACTCCTTCCGCATGTGCGGTACTCCTTCCACAGGTGCGAAAAACCTGTCTGGACAGAACCTTAAAACGGACGAAAACTCAATCTATTTCTTTCTATTTTTCATCCATTGTTGGGCGATTTCAGAGCTCTTTGTGAGGAGTTTTCAACTATCAACTTGGAGGTAAGTTAATTCTACACCCCTTGAGTTAAATACATAGATTATAAGTAGATTATAACTAGTAAATCTTAGAAATCAAAGATTTAGATGAAAAACCTAGATTTTTATAAAAATGAGATTTTAACCACGAAAATAGTTATGGAATTGGGTAGAAATTATATATTTAAGTTCTTAAGATTATGGGTAATGTTTTCATCCAAAAATTTCCAGAATCTGAACACGTGGGCCCGAGGTGAATTTTAGAAATTTTACCATTTTGTATAAGGTAATTTATTTAATAGATAAATGTCGAATCATTTAGCATATATTAATTATTTTGTATAATATTTGGATAGTTTCGGATTTTTCAGCGTCGAATCGAGAATTCAACGCGACGTGGTAATCGAAAAGTGGACTTTGAGACAAGGTAAGTCTCTTGTCTAATCTTGTGAGGGGAAAATTACCCATAGGGATTAAATTGAATAATTATTGCTAATTGAGGGGGCTACGTACGCACGAGGTGACGAGAGTCCGTGCGTAGTTACTATTAATGCTAAAGTCCGGGTAGTTTAGGACTCAAAGCATGAACTACTTGTGTAAATTATATTTTTTTGTTTAATTAATATTAATTGATATATATAAATATATTATGAATTGTTAGATAAAGATATTAAAAGATGGAAATCTCATATGTTTGATTTTCTGTTTAAATTAATTAATTGTTAAAAGAAATTATTCTTTCTCCCGAATTTATCTTATAATAAATATACTCTCCTTCCGGAGGTACATAAGAAAATGTCCTCCTTTCTTGTGGAGCGGGCCGAACGCCTCGGCAGGATAGATGCATCTATGGATCGCGCCACACGTCCCTCGGTAGTGTACACGACACTCTGGATCAGGTCGTACGTCCTCGGCAGAAATCGTGCTTAATAATAATAATCACACGATAATTTAATAATTTATTTCAGCTTGCGAAGTTAATTAATAAATTGAAAAATCCTTGGAATTTAATGAATTATTATTCTTGCTTGTTAAGGAATTAATTGTTATTCCCGTAAATGAGATTTAATTGATGAATTAAAAATTTATTGAAATTGAATTGCAGCTTGTAAAGCTATTTGATAAATTGGAAGTTTTATTGAAATNCACACGATAATTTAATAATTTATTTCAGCTTGCGAAGTTAATTAATAAATTGAAAAATCCTTGGAATTTAATGAATTATTATTCTTGCTTGTTAAGGAATTAATTGTTA